TGCCGCGACCATCTTAAAAGAAAGTTAGAGGAGGAGGCGAGCGAGAGCCCTGCTTCCCTGGCGCTCGAGAAGCTCCGCCGGCCCCTGGGCTTCTCGTCTTCTTCTTTTTTTTTTTTTTTTTTTTCCCCTTTCTTTTTTCTTCCTTTAAGTTTATTATTATTTAAGCCATGACCACCAGATAAGCTCGTTGCGAAGGTGTCCTGCAGCCGGCGAGCAGGAAGCGCCTCCCAACCCTCCCACAGCCTCTCTCTAACCCGCCTCCTTTTGGAACTTGGTGGCAACTTGGTGGCCCTGGCCCGAGCTGGGTCCCTCGCGGTGTCGCACCTGGCCTCCCGTCCCCTCCCGAGCCCCCGGGAGCGGGAAAGGAGCCTGGGACTCGCTCGTACGCCTGACATAGCGGGGGAAAAAAAAAAAAGAAAAAAACCCGTGAATAGTTCCCTTGTGGTCGCTTTTGTGTCCCTGCTCGAAAGCCAGGTTCGTGGAGCTGCCGCTTTGTGGAGGCAGCTGGTGGAGAGTTAGATAAACGACTGCTTAATGAAAAAATCCCCAGTAATTTCGTTTTGCTGTTAAGATTTTGGCAGCGATCGCGTACGTAGTGTTAATCACTGTATCTCCCGCTTTGCTTTCTAGCCTAAGGGAGATGTTCTTTGTTGAAAATGCTGTGGCTGTTAGAATGTGACGGAAACCACTTTGAAGTAAGAGCTGCTTTAATAAATCGAGCTGGTTTGATGCATGTTCATGGGAGCTGAGGTCACCTGCAGTTGCATTTGGCAGCAGTTTTGTACTCTGTGCCTTACTATGCAGAGTGCAGAATATTAAGTGCATGCAGTGTTTAAACACTCCGCTTTCTTCTTTGGTGCGTCTTTTCTTGTTGAGAAGAAAAGGAATGCTGCAACTCTGTAATTAAGAAATTCCTGTTTCTAAAAATCAAAAATACGCCTTTTGTTTGTGTGTTTGCAGGCAGAAATAGCAGTGTTGAGGAGAGGGGGTAATAAAAATCTGCCTGTTTTGTAAATAATTGTCTAACCTTTCCCTCTAAATAAATCCCTGGCTGAAGGTGCAGTGCAGGCCACAGTAAATCTGTAAGTTATGACTTCTGTTGGCTTCTCTCTGGTTTTTGTTCTAGCAGTTTTAAAAATACAATAAAATGGGTAAAACCTGTTTTATTCTATATGTTAGAAGTGAGGATCAATTACGACTTCTTCCCTCTGCATGGTTGGGTGTTAGGAAGTCAAAGTCTGTTTTAGCTCCCCTGATACTGTCAGGATATTCTGCTCAATGGTTTGTTACGCTCATGTTGTGTCTGTAATAATGTTACAAGAATGTTATGTTAATAAATGATTTATGGAAAGAAGTTAGTATTACAGCATGTAACACTTAAGTAGATTTGACAATTATGACAAGTATTCTGCTAGTGAGGCTGCTAAGTCAAGCCTAGGAAGCTAAATCTCACTTTACTTTTTTGTCTTTTAAAGAACAATCCTGCAGCAGCCTAATGCAAAATGAATCAAGGAGCTGCGTGTGTGTTCAGCAGCTGATCGCCTCTCAAGCTTTCATTTAAAGCCCTTGATGGGAACACTTCAAAGCTACCCACAGTTTCGCTGAACTGTGTAAAACCTTTGTAGTTTGTTATTGCACAATTTGCTGCGGCAGGCTTAGCTGTTACATACTTGTGCCTTTCCTGATTGCCCCTTTAAAGGAACTCTTTCTGTTAAATTTCCTGCTCGAAAAACTACTGAGCCAACTCAAAAGTTTCACTGTGCTGCACGGTAATTTATTTTCGTTTCTCTGCGAGCTCTCTTGTTTACAGAATCGTGCAAGCTCTTGAGCTGCTGTGTTTGCTGGCTCTTCCCAAGGCCGCTCAAACGCTCGCAACTTGTAATTTCAGTTGAGAAGAGCCCCGTGATTAAGCTGAGGCCTGGCTGCTGCCTAGGGGAGTCACTGAGCAGAAATGAAGGCAGTCAATGGACCAGCTCATTGTGGGGACCTCTGTGCTGTTTGCTCAAACGCCACCCAAGTTGTTCCTGGCTCTTTAAACTCCAAACTTGATTTTCTGGACTATATTTTCTAGATACGTAAATAAGTGTGAGTTGTGGTCAAGCAAATCCCTGCTTTTAAGGTTCCATAAGGTGTGTTCGTGCAGACTGGAGCTGGATGGCTGCTCATTTAAAGAGCAGTAAATGTGTATAAGGAGAGTAAGGGAACGCGAGCAGTCAGGCTCGCTATAGAGAAACAAGTGAATCCAGGGAGGAAGGTCAAAGAGCGGGAGATGCAAATGTTTGCAGCAATAGTTATAGTTCATGCTTCCTGTTGCATCATGTTTTATACTTAAGCTCTCATAATCAACTTGATAAAGTAGAATAATTTGTCACTTCTATTCAGGAAGTGTTATTTAGTTTTTTCTGTTTGTTTTTTTGTTGGCCGTTGCCGTTTTAATGCACTGAACAATGAGGTTGCTAATATATGAAATGTGTATGATAGCTACCTCACGAAGTCACATCTTTAAGCTGCAGAGCATGTAAGCTTTTCAAACCATGGTAATGCAAAAAAAAAAAAGTTGCTATAGCAACTCTATAAGAAAAAAGGGTATATATTCAGAAATGTTTAGGCAAAGCAGAATATGTTTGAAACTCACTTATCTGAAGGACTAGACAATTGGTGCAGTAAATGATTTGCATGGAAAGTTCTTAAAATATCTATTATTTTTTTAAAAAAAATACTTATTTTTACTTTTTTTTTTCCCCCCCGAGTGAATTGAACTGAAGGGAATGATCAGATAGGGCTGCTTTATGTGGTAAGCCAAAGGGCTGGCATGGTGCAGCATATTAAGCCTGCTTGGATTCATGAACTTCTCAGGAAGCTTAGCAAAAAAATCTTTTAAGATTCAGACAAATAGGATATGTTTGAAATATGTTTGTGTGTCTTAAAGCGAGCCTGTGTTACGGTTCCAAAACATGGTGCCTCAGAACTGAGAGCAACAGTGCATAAGCCTCCCAGAGAAGAACTGGCACCTTGTAATTGAGCGCTGTCCTCTGGTGAGACTAGGAACCCAGAAAGCCGGCTCCAGGAGTCGGGAGTAAATCCGTTCAGAAAGGAACCCGCTGCAGGAGGGGAGGAGTGTGCTTCACTCCCGCACACTTAGCACGCGGTGTTTGAGTGAAGATGACCAACCTGTATGTGTTGTGCCAGCTGCAGGAGGTCAGTTGCTCTGGAACTGCTGCGTAGAAGGTCAATGAGCCTCTTGGTTTGCGCGAGGCCGTGTGGAAGAGCAGGTGTAGGCAGTGGCACAGCAGTGCTTGTGTGCTGCCTTCAAGCTCAGCAGTGGTTCTGGGGCCAGGTCAGTGGGGCCAGCGAGGGCCTGGTTTGATGAAAGGCCAAGGTTTCCCCACCAGGACCCTGCATCTCATCTACAGCTCTTTGAGGGCCACATGGATTTGTGGAACACTTTGGGTCAACTGCCTCGTTGGCAGCCTTTGAGGGAGCATGTGGATATATGCAGCGTGTATAGTGGAACTACAGTAGTCTCTATAAGCAGTAAATACAACATATTTTTAAGTGTCAGTTTTACCCTGCGGGTCCCAATAAAGTGTCTCATGTATTGTCAAAAAATTGTCTGTAGGAATTTAATTTCTGGTCATATTCTGCATCTGCAGCTTGATCCCAAAGTTCATATACTATGCATTCTGTTTGAGTGATGGATTTCTCATTGGTTTTGTGGTTTCGGGAAGAGTGCTAAGAAATTCTGTTTAGATGAATATGTAGAGACAAGCCTTGTAGTCCCACAGCATAACTCTATACATTCATTCTTGGCTATGTAAAAAAATCAATTTCAAATCTTTATCTTAATATTGATATGGAATGTTGAAGTACTGCAATTTTAAGTAATTTTACTTTCAACAGAGGCTAATGGAGCAAACAAGAAAGAATAAGAAGGGCTTCAGAAAAGGCTTTTCATGCTTGGCATTTTCTGGAAGCTGTAATTAAGCTGCCATTGTCCTGCTTGCTCAAGGCAGGAGGAAGAGATCATAGATTATCTGCAAGAGAAGATGAATGACTTCAAAGAACGTCATTTATGGCAGAACTTAGCACGTGTGTATATGTGTTTGTGCGTATATTTATGAGCTTGTAAGGAAACTACATGTATAATCTTGTCTGTTCTATCTTTTTAACCAGTTACCACTTGGTCCAAGACAACGGATGTAAATTTATCCAACTCCTTAAATGGTTTGAGCTTGATGGGAATTTTGGATGCGAGAGCTGGCAATGGTATCCAGAGTCTTCAAAACTGCAGTTCAAGGGCGCCGAGGTCTCTCTCGTTGCCTGCATACGAGCCCAGCCAACATTGCAGTGCTTTAGAAGACTGTCATAGCCTTAAATCTGTGGATTCTGGTATTCCAACTCTAGAAATAGGAAATCCAGAGCCTGTTCATTGCAGTGTGCTGCATGTGAAGAGGAAGCAGTCGGAACCCGAAATCGTGCCTGATAGAGCTTTTCAGAGCGCGTGCGCGCTGCCCTCCTTCGTGCCTCCGCATCCGCTGGCTTCCGAGCACGAGCCTCCGGTGCGGAAATCCTCCACCTTCCCCAGAACGGGCTACGACAGCGTCAAACTTTACAGCCCAACCGCCAAAGCTCTGAATCGAAGCGATGACATCTCGGTCTGCAGCGTGTCTAGTCTTAGCACAGAGCTGTCGACAACTTTATCTGTTAGCAACGAAGACATTTTGGACTTTGTGGTCACGAGCAGCTCGAGCGCGATTGTGAATCTCGAGACTGACGATGCGCACTTCTCGGACGTCACCCTGAACTCCACCAAGGAGACCGGTGATCAGAGCCAGCAGGAGTGTTGTCAGGAGGCAGATGTGGACAGTAAACTGAAAATCTTGGGACCTTTTACCAACTTCTTTGCCAGGTAATATCTCTGTGAAATATATTTTAAATATATTAATATGTAATACTATATAATATTTCATTCTGAGATAGTCATTCCTTACTGTCATTTGAGATGATATTAACAAAATTTGTTCTGAATAAGCAGGCAAATTTTGCTAGAGACCAAGGTTTAGAATCTTTTTCTGTATTATTTTTAAGATATATAGAAACACCTTAATTCTTAAAACTTTCCTTTTAGAAGGACTCCTGGACAAGGATTTTCTTCCTAGCTTCTTGAAGCTTCCTAGCTTTTTGTCATTCTGGCCAAGATCCTTAATCTTGTGTAAGGATGTGTAAGCAGGTTAAATATAGATGGAATACATACTTACATTGAAGAATTTTCGCACTTGGGAAGGGTTCTAGTAGTGCTGGAGTATTTTATTGGTGCATTTATTTTATAAATGCAACATATCCTATGATAAAAATGCTTGGCAAACTCTTACTATGATTTTTCCAGATCTTGGCGATTGTTAATACTTTGCTTCCCCCCCCCCCGCCTTTTTTGTGGTATTGGTATCTATTCTAAACATAGTCTTTAGTAATATGTTTTAAGTGCAGATACAAATTAGATTAATTCCATTCCTCATTTACACCTTCCATTTATCTACATTTTTCCCCCTTCATTTAAGGCCTTGCTAGTGTCTCTTAATTTTAGGATATAATGTCTAAAGTGTACATAGTTAGAAATAATCTATATTTTTCTCTATAGTGTAGAAAAGGATCCAGAAATAAACTAAAACACCAAGCAGCATTGGCTACAGCTGGCCTGCTCTGTGCATATGATTATTTCAGCTAAGCCCTTTTTCCTCCTGTAAATTTTTCTTTTCATGAGGTGAAGCAGCTGATTAAAAATACCTAAGTAAGTGGCAAACACTGTTCTTTGAAATGCAACCCTAATTGTAAAGCTGAAGAGAAACTGCTGCCTTCGATCTGCACCCTGATTGGATTTTTGTTATTAATTTTTATTCTTAGATTCCAGTTGCACTAGAGAGTGCAGCGCAGTGGACTTGACTCATCAGTCATGTTTGAGCTGTTAAAGCTTTGTGGCCCTCTATTTGTTGTCATGGAACCAGACTTAATTCTGTAGTAGGAGGCTTCTTAGCACTTCAAAGGCTGCAGAACATGAACTTTTGTTACCCGTTCTGCTAGCACAAATGTTAACTGGGGCGAATGCTGTCCTTCAGCCTGGGGAGTGCAGGGAACAGGCACATTAAAACCCTGCTCAGAGTAGGATAATTAACCGCTCCTTAACTTTTCCCATCCAGCAAAATAAAACCATCTGTCCATGTTTTGCTCTAGTGCAGGCTCTAGGAGTTTTGCCAGTTTTATAGAAACTGAGATACGTTACAGATGAAGCTTTTTAACCTGAACATTTGCAGGTACTTAGGATTAGGCTCAAGCTAAGTTGTCAGGTTTAAAGTTTGAACTATTCTGATCTGGCCTTCAACATCCTTCCCTTTAACATCCACTTTCTCATCTTGGTTGTTTTAAAACAATGGAGCTACTCACTTTTTTGTCTGTACTCCTATTCCATATGTTCTTTCTCTTATGCAAGCTAGGTGAGGATTTCACAGGAGCTAAACAGCTCCTGTGCTTAGCTAAACAGCTAAGCAGAGAGCTCCTGATTTTTTTTTTTTTTTTTTTTTTTTTTTTTTGCTATTCCACAAGGAATGCTATATACTACTTAAGCTGTGGACATTTTGAAGATTGAAACATGCTGTTGCCTGTCTTGTTGACATTTGAAATCTGCTCTTCATGTGGTTGTTTGCTGCTTCTATTGTTCCCATACAGTCCCTTTTCTGTTGAGTTTCTGTGGCTTTTCTTTGCTCCTCAGATTCGCAGGACTAAATGAACAGTTCATAAGTGAACTCTGTCCCTGCCAGTGTTTTGTTTGAAGGTAACTGACTTCTAAGGACCTTCCCACCCAGATGGACCTGACTTGGAGGCATCCAGGTTTTGCGGGAGGGGCTGGAGGAGAACAGGGTGTTTAGAACAGGATCCTCAAAAGCTGGGGAGCTTCTTCAAGCAGCCTGTAGAAAGTGCCATGGCGACAGGTATAAGCAAAATCCCAGGAAGGAGCACATTGTTTAGCACTTCGCAGAAGTGCTTGAGATTCTTAGACTTGCAGGTTTAAGTGTGTAAACCTTCCCCTTCAGAAGTGAATGATGAAGTCAGTCATTTCATCGAACTAGGGCAGAAGAAATTAATGATGCCGAGCTAGTAGGCCCTTGAGCGTGATGCCTGCGTGCAGTGTGGAAGAGCAGGCACGCGAGGGGTTTGGATGCATCAGCCGGATGGTTGTGGGGCAAGGCTGCGGTGGAGGCTCCTCCACCCCAGTCTGCAGCTCAGCTCCGTGGCCTTCCTCTAGGTAACGGGGTGCGTCGGGAGCTAAGGCGAAGCTGCTCAGTCCTTGCTTCAACTGTTGACACTGTTGGTAAAAGGAGGAGCCTGGTTCCAGATCTGGCATCTGGACTGGTATTGAACCCTGTCCAGCATCAGAGAATTTGCTGGTTTCTCTAGAGACTAGATTTGTTCTGGATTGTCAGTGAAGATTTGCCACTACCTATGTGTGTGGTACTGACAAAAATCAGATGCCTGCAGTGTTGGTAAGAACTGGGCAGAAATTGAGGGTCACAGTTAGGGACTCGCACACCTAAGTAGCACAGAGAGCAGCTAAGACTGAATCTTTCATATCACCAAGAAAATGCTTAGAGAAGCCATTGATTCCAGATGTAAAATTACTTCTTAGCTCTTTATAGTTTTATTTTCCTGGTGAGAGAGTATGCATGCGCACACAGGCAGTGCGTGTGCTGCCCTGTGTTCCTTATTGCTGCTGGTAGTGCTGGTAGCTTGTCACAAAAAGTCTGTGTTTCCTGGAGACTGCATGTGAGAACTGAATTGCAGTAGAGGTTGAAGAAGCTCAGCCCCGCTGGTTTGTTGCCTGTGAGTTTCTAGCACCTTCAGGGTCACTTGGAAATGCAGCATTTTTGCCCTGCCTCCTCAGGCACTAGGATGGAGCCTTCCTGGGTTGCTTCTGGCTCTGTTAGGGTCTGTGCAGCACCTTGAGGCTTGGAGGAGTCTCGTGGTTCCCTCAGGTCAGGTCACGGCTCTCTGGGTGCAGTAGGAAGATCCCCGTGAGCAGATAGGCTGCTGTGCTGCTCGGTTACTTGTAGCCTCCTCCTTGAAGAGTATAAGGCAGCACAGGGACTAGTAGGTGCAGTATTAGTGCTTTATCATTAGGCCCCAAGTTGATACATGGAAAGGAATATTGCTGAAATACTGACGGAGTTAACAGGCTACTTACTAGTTTAACTGTCAGGTGTCCCAGCTATCAGGTTTAAAAGGCCAGATTATTTTTTCACCTAAAATGTGGTTTGAATTAATTTTCTTTGAGAATAAGTAAGAAGTCAATTTGAGACAAAGCATTAAGAAGTTACCGATTTGGAGAGTGAAGAATCAGTGTCTTGGCTGACACTTGTCCTTCTTTGCCCTAGTGACCCACAGTGGCAGAAGTTGGCAAGTTCTACCTTTGGACTTTGCTTCTGTGCAGTACTGCTGCAACATACAGTTTTAACAGGCTCTTTTTTCTTTTTTTCTTTTTTTAAAACAGCTTTGCTGATTCACCAGTTTTACAAGTTTACTGAGATGTGCCTTCTATTGTTTTAGAAAGTGCAGATGATGCTTTCCATGGCCTCCCAAACAGTTCTATAGGACTGTTTAATCAAAAATAGTAAGATGAGCAGTTCTCTTCCTTTTTAATGGAATACAAAAATCTGAAGTCCTCACTTAGTCCATTGGTGTGGGTGTTGTTTTATTTGTTCAGGAATTAGGATCCTTTATTCCTCCCAAACTACTCCTAAGTAGTAGCACCTGAGGAAATTTTGCAGAGAATGACCACATTAAAGAATAGGCTTTAAGAGAGGAGGTATTTTTTATCTTTCCAAAGAACCTTTATGTTTCTGAGGGAAAACTTCTCAAGCAGGATTGGCATCCCTGTGTGCATGTTATATATAATACGCACGTATACCCCAGTCTGGTGAAGGCTGTGAGCCAAAGATTGAAGTTCGGAATAATATCCACTGGTTTCAGTGATAAATCTGAAATATATTTATATATATATATATACACACACACATGCACATGCATATATATGTTGCCTGGTCATGTGCGGTGGAATTCTGAATTTAAGGTATTAAATACCTTGTACTAATGAGCAGGAATTATTCATAATGTCCTTTATCTCTTCTAAAGAGAGAACAGTATATTGTTGTTCTCTAATTTTGACGGTAAAAGGAAGGCAGAATAACAAGGAGTATTATAGTGCTGATTTACCATTTCCATCTCTCTGGAAAGGGAATTCAGATCCCATAAAAGGAAAGAGAAAGTCTGCAGATAATTAGGACTGAGTAGTCTCCTGCTTTTAAACTGTGTATATTTGATGTGGTCTCCTCTTCTGTGCATGTTTTCTGTTAAATGACAAAGTATAGACTGGTGGAGGAGGCGTAAGGGAGGAACAGAAAAAGCTGGATACAGTGCAGGGGTCAGTGTTTGCACACTGTGTCCTAAACAGAAGTGAACAATAAAGAACTGAACTGCAGATGGAGCTGTCCAAAGGTTGAAATAAGGAATTCTAGAAATCCAGCGCCTCACAGAAGGGAACTATCAAGATGGCCTGAGCACTCTCTAGGGTGACTTGCTGACTTAATTCTTAAATTTACATTAAATCTTATTTGAGCTGCTGGTCTTCAGAATAAAAGGAAGTTGCTTTTGGGGGATGAAATAACTGTGCTTAATTAAAACTCATTTGTGAGAAACTTTTTCAGTATTCAGTAGCAAAACTGAAGAGGCTGATTGAAGGTTTTTGTTCACTGTGGAAGGTGAATGATAATCTGCACAGCAAGACTTGGAGGATTTTTTTCTCTGGTAGCAATGCAAAATTTTGTGGTAGGTGAGGCCTTTATTTGAATAATTCCTGCATGA